GGCGAGCTAAGGATATTTATCGATTTCCGTGAATTTTAGTGAGCGCGGTTTTTAATACAATTACTTTATCAAGTGACTGATGATGTTAGAGTGCTACGGACATATGTATCTATTATTTTCAACCTATTTTTTGGCTCAAATATGTCGCCCTCGCAAATTAGATGAGAACGCTTTAGCAGCTGAGTTAGCAGGGAGAACTTACAGCATCGATGTAAGACATCCCGATTCAACAACGAGCTTAGGTTTTAATATTTGAAAATCAGTTGATCTATATCAGCGCTGCTAGTGAGAAGGAAACCTAGCGCGGAGAAATTAAATTGATAGTTACAATCGTTTATCTTTTCCAGGCTCAGACATCCAATTAACTCCCGGTATGTTAACAGCTAGTAAGAAGAGGTCTCCACTCAAACTCTCTACCGCTTTTTTGTGGCTAAGACGCAATTGAGTTCGCTCCTGAGTATGGATAATTTTGTTTTTTAAGACGACTTATTTATTAGACGAGTGACCAGTCTAGTTAGTTTTGTCGTAGCTATGTTTGTACTTTCATTTGTTCGATTCCTTACTGGATACACAGAAATTGCTGTAACTGCACGCTAGTATATGTGCAACAAAACTTTTTCTCACCCATAAGTACGAGCTTCCCTGGAAAGCTTTGGATTTCGTTTTTAGAAAAGAGGTATAATATATGTTAGATTTAGTAGGAATCCGTTCACAGGCTTTTTTATATTTTATATCGACAGATCACCAGTGTTGAATGTAAGGGATGCGACGTCAGTAGGTTACCAAATTGACGCATAAATATGGCCTTGCGTACATCGGTGTGCAATGAAATATACAGAAAGAAAATCTCATTTTGAATCATTCCGACCAGCTTTTTTGTCCGACAACCTAACTAGAAATAGAACGCAAGTTTCGATAATACCACAAGCATCTGTGTCTAATACTTTTGTCGCTGTTCTTTTGGGGGCGATTAATCCTGTCCTTAAGCTGCCACTTTCGATGACTGGAGCCCTTAACAGCGCTCGGTTTTGTGGAAGTAGGCAGATATCGGTTGATATTTCCCGGAAACAATTCTTATCCGATGATATAGCTAAGGGTTGTTTTCGAGTTAATGGCGTCACTCTGTCATATAAAAAAAACCCTCAAAAAAACATCATGGTAAACGTCTATTGGCTATAAAGCTATTGGCCAACAATGACCCACATATTGATACTCAAAGTGCACCGTGAACTGTTTTCATATCTGAAACTCTCGAGGTGTGAAGCTAAACGTAAAAACAAATATTATAATAATAAGATCATTCCATTGGAGTGAACGCAAAATAAGCTTTTTTTTCTAGTCGCTTGTACTGCTGTTGTTTACGGGCTTTTATAACTTTATTGCAATGGAGGAATCGCGGTAAATTTATATAAAAGTTCTCCTCTTTGGTGTTGCTATTTAGCCTACGTTTGCTATCACCAATCCCAGAATACAGACTCACCTGCTTTTATGTATTCGAAAATGCTTCGAAATTAATAAAAATCATGATTAGATAAGTTCTCGGTGGTTTATCAATTCTAGATGATGATAAGTCTACACATAAGATCCCGCATAAAACAGTTTCCTTAAACATGTTCTTCTCTACGAATGGATAGCATTAACCTATCCAGACCTAATCCGACGTTTCCGAAGCTACATGAGAAAAAAGTAAGAAGTGTAATTGTTGTCTAAGAAAAAGGTCTGTTGTGTTGGAATCAAACTGAAGAAACAAATTATGGATATGTTGATGCATCTTTACCTTAAGCGAATGGATGGATTAGGGAGCAAATGTCTGGTGCCAAAAAGTTGGCACACTACATAATAACAAGGCACCATCCACAATCTAGTGAAATGAATAATCACTTCCTTTCGCTCATCAGTTCGATATACAATACAAGTTGCGGTTGATCAAGCTGACTCTCTCTCTCTCGCAATGAAGAATTCCTATATTTGCTACGGAACGTCACCAAACGTTGTTTATTTGTCTTTGTTTTCTATAATTCTATTAAACAAATATAAGGATGCGGCGAGAGGAGCCCTAAAGGCAAGAAGCCTGCACGAAGTACAGTTTTTCTGACTGCATGAGTTCGGTTAATTGTTTTTTAATAGCCTTAGTTCTCATGTATTTTTCGCTTCAAAAAACTGCAAAAACAATTGAGAGCGAAATAATAAAAAAATATTACATCTATGCTGACTGGCCGAGTGTTTGAAATGAAGGTTTTATAGCTGTAGTTTGCCTGGTCACCATAGGCTTAAAGGTTCAGGAAAGAAATTAAAGGATTTCGATTAAATTTAACAGAATTTCTTTAATTCCTTTATGTGTTTGCGATGATTTGGACACATCATAGCACGTATCGGGTTATGGGATCCATTCGTATGAGGTTCCAAACAATTCAAAAACCATTTCGTTAATGTTCGCGTCAGTGACATCTTCCGCGCTATATGGTTCGATTTGTCTGGTCTGTTTTCAACGGGATCCACTCTGATGCAACTTTAAAACTCTACAAGTTGGATGCGTTAGAACGAATTTTTATAAACTTATTCTGAGTCTTGTTTTGCGCACACAGTAGTGTGTTCTTGCAAGCGAAACAGCAAAGCTAGTCAATCAAAACAAACGCGCAATTAAGTTCGAGTAAGTTAAATGTTATGAAAGCAGTCCCACAAGCCAACAATTCATATATGCCCATTCATCTTGAGAATCGACGGCTGCCAGCCACAGCAGTAGTAACCCATTGACGGCCTGCAAATGGTAACGTTGCAACAACGAGCAAGATGGTAGTCCGGGCCGACGATTCGAGTCTGTTCGCTTTCATAATGATGGCGCAATAACTAATTGCTAACATTTCTAACGAAACCCTGGCAGAAAATGTTCAGTGTGCTCTGAACGTATGCAGAGAACCATAGAACCCAAATGGGAATTGGGAACTACCAAAAGGAATCAGTACGATGCAGTCTATGAAACGCAAAGTCTTGCTATGAACGTGACCAATCTTGCACGTTGCTGACAGAGATCGTGCTAAAGATTCTTAACACTATGATAATGATAATAGATAAAAAAAACATGCAAGGAACAATACGCACTTGTGTACGTTGGCGTCCTAATTCAAATATGCACGCACACGCGTAAAAAGCTGTTATGCTTATTCGGTTAAACTTAGACTGTAATACCGATATATATTACTTACGGAAATAATTGTCAAAAACACTAGTAGTAAAATTAACATGCAGTCATAGGTATCATTTTCGCTAGGAACACGTGTCCTACAAGGTATTTGCCTCATCGTACTGGCTACCCTGTATCGTCTGATGCGGCAGCCGTAACACAATTCAATAATTAAACACCATATGTTTTAGCTCTTTGTATGGCTGTAACCGAGCGTAAACTGCAGTATCATCACTGATGGTCCAAGTCTACCTCAGACGATGTACAATTTTTTTCTATTCTTCTAGTCATCATCTGGCCATTACGTAAAACACAACGATGATCATCAGGGAAAATAAACTTATCTATCTTCAGCAAAAGTTAGAGGGCTGCTAAACGCTTTGACCATCGGCCTCGTAGCCAGAATAATTGTAATTCTTAATTCAAACATTGCAAATCAAATTGTTCTAATATGTCTTGGTTCACTAAGGTCGAGTGTTCTTATATATATGGAGGGTTTCTTATATGTTATTTCCAAAATGATGCCTACGAAGGTCACGTTTATTCAATACAATCACCATTACAAATTTAATTAAGGATCTAACTAGTCATTTCTAAGACAATTTGCTAGTAAACTTCTAATGATCATCGTGCGTTAAGCGATACCGGTAAGTGTGGACTTACTAAAATGCAGTTCAAATGCGTTACGTACAAAAAAATCCCAGCGGAATGAAATTTTGCTAATAAGCTAAGGATATCAAAGGATGCAAGGACTTGTAACGATAAAAAGCTTTAAAGGCGTAAAAAGACTCAAGAAGACCCATTGCTTATCTGGACGGCAACTATTGCTCTTCTCTCCAGAACGGCCGTCAATTGCAGTATACAAAGTGTATCAAAAAAGGATTTGATACTTTTTCGAATTCTGCACACTTTATTTATTTATTTACTTCTCTACAGCTTATTGAAGATTTCCTGTTCTGGCTTATGAAAGTCTTCGCCTTTTTCAGTGTTATGAAGAACAGTGAATGAATACAATCGTTCCACGATGATTACCTAATATATATATGTACCAAGCGGTGATCAACAACAAATTACTTTTTATTATAATTCAAGCGTAACGCTTCTGTGCATAAAATGTTTCCAACTTTTTACCTCTTGAATATAATTAGCTGTAGTTTAAAATAGGTAAAGACTATAGGATTAGTAAACACATGTATATAGAAAAAGGATTTCGGGTGCTTTGTAAATTTTTAAACACACATCTTTAGTAAATTTTTATTCGCTAAATTCTGAGACTTATACGACTCATTGACTATATGACTAAAGTGGCGATCCTTTGTTAGTCCGCTCTATGTCATTTGGCCACTTTGCACTCATGTACACAAAGGAATAAGGTGAGACAATTAAAGCGGATAACTGTAACCTCCCATCACAAAAGTTTATTTGCCTCGAAAACTTAGCAACGTTCATCAAGCTAAAACGAAGCAGGTATTATTTTTTAAACTAGTATTGGTGGAATCTGGGCAGAAACCATTTTCTCTAGGCATCATTAGTATTTTTCCGTTACAAATACAGTGTGTATATTTCTTTCAAGTGAACCAGATAACATTATCAATGAGCATCGTTGCTTAAATAGGACCATAATCTTAATTCCATCAACATGCAGACGAGTTATAGGGCTGGTTAGAGTCCGTCAAACCCTGCTTTTTGAGAACATGTAATTTTAATAAGTACCATTGATTATCTAGTCTATTTATTCCTTATATGTCTGTGTATAATACTGCTTAGTTAAAAACGACTGAATGCGACAAACTGCTTTTATTTCTACCTTCCCGAGGGTGGTTTCATCCTGTGTGCGACTACCCCTGAGTTCGTTTTCTTTGTGTTTTACGTCCGGTAGTTAAGTCGTCAGGACTTACTTCAGACGACTGGCTTTTTTCAACACGAAACGAAGTGTGTCTACGTTCGGATTCATCACCCGGATCATTACATGTCCGTAAGTTTACTAGGCAAACACGACAAACACTGCGCTATTACGGGTACCACCGCCTCTTATGATTAACTTATGATGCTCCTAAGCCTTGAGTACAGTCACGCCGCAATTATAAGCACGTACTAAATGTTGTGTCATTATAAAACCTTAACAGTTTTTACAATATCCTAATGATACTTCACGCGCGCCACCATTACTACAAAACAACAGGATGGCAAGGAACAAAATTTATATGACGTTCGTATAAATGTACGACGGCAAAAATAAGCGCGAATGGTCGTTTGAACCGTCTTCCTGCGCCTCGGCCCTGTTTTGATTCACTCCGATCCGCTTTGTCTGAACTGTGCGTCACCACGGTGTTCTAGTACTTTAATAAATAACATTAGAAAAATTATTTGTTGGTGGAGTATGAACGTAGACGGCAAATTTTGCAGGTCCTGCCTGATACAGGGTGCAATGCCCTTCGTTACCCACAGCGTTCGGAACGCATTAAAAACTCGAAAGCCGTGTCTCCACTGAACAACAACAACAGCAACAACAGCAACAATTGTTCCTCGGTATTTGTAGGCTGCGGCTTCATTTGAAGACTTTAACGAATTACTGCCATGAGGATTGATAGTGATTCGAGCTTCACTTTAAGTTTACGGTATACAAAACCAAGCACGCACTCTAGGGTACTCAATATCAAGGTAAGGGACACACGTCTTCTATTTCGCTAATGGTAAATAACCGCTGGCAATATTCAAATGGAATGATCTTTTATATCGGCACCGCTATTGCCAATGCTTGGTCTGATTAAACAGCATTTTAAATTAAAGCGCTTTCTAAAACTAGCTTAAATGAGCTGTTTGTTTGATCCGATATACTCAAAAATTATTATGTATTTATATATTCGGTAAAGAATATTAATAAAAAAAAAAAAGGACATAAGTAGCATTTTGTGCGAACTACCAGCGTTATTTGGCGGGTGACGACTGCTAAACGGTGAGTCGTAAAAGAAATCACCGTCGTCAGTGGGTACAACTTTATGCCAGTAATCAAATTTAATGGCCGATATTATCCTACTTCGACGATTCCGTCCACCTAAATTTGTGCTGAAAGTAATGGGATGACTTAGGTACGAACCGCCGGATCTTTAAGGGATTATCATATTAAGTATCCCCTGATTCAGGCCCCGTCAATAGAATGTTGCACAATAAGTATAATCAAATGAATAAACGTGTTTTGAAGGCTGAGGAAAAAAAAGGCCTGAAATTGCTTATCTTTGGCAACCGGCAAGCGACGCTGGGAGAAGCTGAGTTCCAATAAGTCATTTCATTAGTATGTAAACTATACGACAATTTTTTGAATAATACAATAAAAGTATGATATCAGTATCCTTCAGATTTTGTCAACAATACTAATGAAAGATAACTGTCGTGATAAAAACACAAAATACAAGCTTACAAATTATAGTAATTATATATTATCAATTAATTTTGTTGGGTGTGTTAATAAGTCTACTTCGATCAGTAACGCTCACTGAAGGCCAGGCAGAGCTTTATCTGACTTTGTTACGGTCGACAAGCAGACAAACTAAGCAGATCGAATAAAAAAAATACTACCTAAGGGCTTAAGCTCCTGCTAAATTAAGTAAACAACGAACGAATGCTGACGTCATGTTATTTCGATAGCAGATCTAGTTATCTGCTATAGTGATCTCCGCTGAATCTCGCCAGGCAGAAAATGACAAACGTGAATAGAATGATGCAAAAGTTAGTATCGTTAGCAGGTAACACATTAGGCCTTCGTCGTTGTTTTATAGACTAATCCCATATGGTTTCCTTCTTTTGAGTTTTTACAATGCGAGAGCGGTATATTTGTGGTTAGATAAGTACATGCTGGTATAGATCTGCAGATAGCTATAATTCTAAGAAAGGAGCAGTGCTAAATAGTGGTGCCAAGCGGTCTGGTCGTCCAGTCAAACACAAAACATAAGGCGAAACACCTTTATACCTATCCCTTTGTCTTGTTTTTCGATTGTTGGTCCCTTCATATCACAGTATGTGCCTAGGCTGATATGCATAGAAAGGTTATGTAAATGTGATGTGCAGCAATCTTTCTGTTTGCAGAGCTGGAGCAACCCGGAAGTGAAAATCTATCAACATGCCCATGTAATATAGTGCCCACTTTTTTTTTGTATTTGAGTCATTTCTTTACCTTGCAACTTAGTGCCCATTTTTTTTTTTGTATTTGGGTCATTTCAGTACCTTGCGTTCGGGGCAGTGGCAGTTACTATTATAGTGGTCCTCTGGGTAGTCTTCATTCCCAAAGGTACGCACGTACTTTACAATGGTGATTTGACTTGTAAGTCGAAGTACAGGTATTCCAACGTTAGAAAGTTCGATTTTAGGTACATGTGAATCTGACAAAAATATCTACAATAATGAATGATCTTGACGATACTGCCGATTTCAGTTAAGATAGATTGGATTTTCTGCGCAGTATCAATGATGCATGCTTCCTTCCAAGTTTTTCAACAGATTTTCAACAAATTTTCTTTTGTTTCTGCGGTTCCGCTTCATTTAGTGCAAACTCTGTGCAGGCGCTACTCGACAAGCTCGTTCGTGGCACTAGATGTGGTGAAAATTGCGTACTGTTTAAAATTATACAACGTCGCTGTTAAAATTTCTACATCTGTCAGGCTAAGTGAAGAAATTTCCGTTTTGCATTTCAATCTCATCTTCATAAAGGTCGACCCAATCACCTGTTTAATTCAGGTAGCATGCAATGTCTGGGCATGTTGGAAAAGAGAAAGGAAAAAAGAAGGAAAGAATTTGACAGATAGCTAGATCCACGAAAGTTTTGTAGTACCTCAAATTTATTTAATCCCCTGTAAAAACTCCAATTCTATTAAGCGATTAAGATTAGATATTGATATCTATTACGTTCACAGCACTATCATCGATAACTTTTCGAACTTAGGCTTATAAACTCCGATTGCGTATCTAAGCGCTTATTTTACAATATTAAGCAAATTTGGATGGTTAGATTTTCAGCAAAAGCATATAAAATCGGACCAGAAAATAAATGCGGAAAAAACTTTGACGTACTATATTTTATTCAAATATCCCATGAGTCGTTCTGCGTTCGGAACTTTATGCGTTTGTCCATTGCTCTACGGCCAAAAACCATGCTTGAGCGTTACTCGTTATGCAAGTAAGTACAGTCAACTACTGTAATAAGCCAAATGGTTGACGAGTTACTGCGTAAGCGATTCACCTTGGTGTCATCACGGCATGCTAAGAAAAAATATATAGAAGAAGACAAGGCCTACTTGAATCAATAATGGCTTGTTGCCAATTTCAGGCTCAACTTTTTTCCGAATCTACTCGGTAAGCTGAGTATAACAGCTTCATTCTTCTTAAGATCCTTCAATTCTTTGCCTTCGAATCGACCATGACCATTCTCTCTATTGAATCGTACTCATGAGATTGTGATTTCGCTTTTCCACATTGAGACATCGAGCTCTCTGAACAGAATTCATTAATTGTTTTACGCCTTTGTTGGGAAGATCGAGCTAATGTCCGTCTGAAGATGTTAGCTATTTCTGATAAGCAGACATCTTTCAGAGTTAGGCTTGTACATTTTGTAGTTAGTGTGCTTGATATATTGAATAGAATTTAGCATAATTAAACTTCTCCGTGCTTCGCACTTTCCTTACTTCAGTGCCAGCGTATAAAGGATATGTATTGTATGTATGTATGTCCGAAGAAGATGGTGTGGTCTGCAAAAAATTTCGAAAAACTGTGAAGACCCAATTTTACTAGCAGTATTTAAAATCTATAGATAAAAAGGAAGCTTACGTATGGTCCTATGTTCGTTGTCACATTATCTATTACAAGGTTAGGTTCGCAGGGATCTCGCAGTCGGCGTCATCTGTGTACCGCGGAAATGCGAGTGAGAACATATAGAACCAGATATTATTTCAACCTGAGGGGTGCTAAAATATATACTAGAGATTGAATGTCACAAAACATTCTTAGTGTACTATGCGGTCAATGATGTACTCCTTTTGCTTAATTATGTTAGTAGTATCACTTCTTCTATGGCAGTTCATAAACAGTTCGTAAAGTTCTCTGGAACCCCCGGAGATTTTTATGGACTAATCTTTCGGGTAGATTTATGAGCGGCCTTTTATTCCAAATTGAATGTTTTGTATGGCTTATTTTTAGTCACATGATCTTCAACAGGAAGAGACTTTTCGAATTTCGTTAATGACCAGTGTACTTTCTATAGTTCCATATACTAGTTAAACATAAGCCGTAGTAGATACTAAACGAAAGCTTTGTCTGCAGCTATAATGACGTATATACGCCAATGTATTTTCTGTACGGGCAAGTATAATCTGTAATGATAATGTACATTCTCGGTTATGACAAAAGCTAATACTGAACCAGCATAGAGCATAGTTAATCAGATTCTGATATCATGAAAATTCCTAGATTTCCGTAAACAAGAACGATCACCTAGAGATACGTCTACATGCTATTGGAATCGGTTCTATTATATCCATGCACACTTTTCAGATCTACTCAAGTGGTGAAGATCATCAGTTACCTCCCAATAAAGTGGAACCTCTCCTTAGCACCTTTTTCGATAGCTACATTATGTACCCACCCTCTAAGAACTGTGTGAACGCCTGCGTAATATAATGTTACATATGGTAAGGACAAATTAAAAGTTTATGGACCGGTTCCTCATCGTAAAAAGTACCATTCATAGGGCTGCCAAACAGATGATTCGATATTGCTGACGAGGCGTCCAGTGCGCTAGGCCCTTGTTGTGATCAGTAAATGTCCACTTCTGTCAGACAGCTCCACGTTCTGACGGCGTTTCTCTGCTGCGCCCCTTTCGTATTCAGTCGCTTTTCTGTGTCTCTTGCAATAATCCCAAAAAAAAATCAAATGTAATCTCTGCTGTAGTTTTTCTGTCTATCATTACTGTCATCGTGAGCCATTATTGATACTGCGGTGATTGAGGGTACTCCGCGGCTGTCTGTGCGCAGGAGAGGGGTGTTTGGTGACCACCTTGCCACGGAGCGTCTTGCTGTCATATCACAACGAATCCGGGCTGCCCGCAAACAAAAGCCAACGGTCAGGTTGATAACTTGTCTGACAACTTCTCAAGCAGTTGTGCTCTGTAGTTTGCTTAGTGATAGAAGCACGTTTGATCCGCTGGAGCGGTGGATGTGGTTATTTTTTTTAATTGTATGAAATTCTAGTTGGAGGAAGAAAAAACAAAACACTGTATCAATATGATGAAGTCGCTTTTGCTGAGTGTCCTGGTGGCAATAACGGGTGCTGCTTGTACTGAACGTAAGTGATTAAGGCGTAAAACATTATGGAAATCAATGCTGAGAGTACGTTTTGAGGTTTTAAGAGAGATGTTTTGGTTGGACTCTCCGGGCGTTTGTTGTCTGTCAAGACTATCTCTCCTTGTAGTGACTGGGCTAAATGGTAACACCACATAAAGATAACTGTGGTTTGATTCTTTATTTCAGTAGTGGTTTCTATTGTTATTAAATGGCGAGTCTTTTCTCTTGAGGTGCTCTGATTCGGATGAAGTGCTTTCCGTGTACTGACGAATATCAGACACATCTACAGAACTCGTTATATGCGAAAAGGTTTGGCTGTTTACCACTGAAATGTTATTGCTACTTAAATTGGAAGGAATTAAAATCGACACGAGGCACGTATCTGTAGGCGGACACTTGTAGACGTAGCTGCGATTTGTAAGCTTGTGTACAGTAAAAAAAAAAAAGTTTATTTTTTTTTACAAGTAATGTAAATTTTTAAGGGAAAGAGTATTTTAAAATGTGCACTGTCACTACTATGGCATTGGTGGTGGAATTGTAGGGATTTCGACTACAGATAATTAGTTTAAAGGCTCATATTCATCTATACACATGTATTTGTAAAATACAGAAATCCACTAGGCGTTTTATCTTAACATCTTTATCACTTGTATCTTTGGCCAACAGACTCGGAAGTAAGAATCGCAACTTCCGCATAGTAGTAGATTGTTAGGCAAAATTATCACATACACAAAACGTTTTCGTGATTTCGTATTAGACTTTTTTTCTTAGCGAATTTCCAAACATAATTCCTACATAGGAGAAACTCGAGGGCGTAGCTAGTAGTCAAATTGCAAGGCAAAGTTCCTATATATGAAAAGGATGTTGGAACTAGCAAGCTCTAACATCCTTTTTATTTTCTTCCTCTGGAGGAGTCAATATACTGCGCTATTGGTTAAAAAGCTTTACTGAATACATTATGTGGTACTGTGAATTGCTTAACTTCTAAATCTTGCTGTGTCGGCAGTTTCTGACGAAAATTTTAAAAGGTTTAGGTGTTTCTATAGGAAAAAGCACATCGGCGTCAAGTCTAGAGAACCGACAATGTGGTTTTTATGGCAATGATATATTATATCACGACGATAGTATGCAGGTGCTCCATCCTGTCAAGTTTACCATCTTCATCAGATTCTCTCAAATGCGTCAAATAGCGGGTTCTTGCAGTAAATACGAGTAACTGATACTAAGGCACCTGTACAGTTAAGGAAAAATGGTCCAATGAATACTTTAGCTGTAATGTCGCACCATAACCCCACCGATAACATATTAATCTGTACAATCGCCAAGTGAGTGCAACTGTATGGGATATTATAGTATTTAAATATAGGTTGATCGTTCCAGACGCTGCTTTTAAACAACTGTGCGGCTTATTCACAGTTTTCGTTCGCAAGTATTTAGCGTTTAACGTCGCTGAAACTGAACTTTATTTGTAACACGTAAAAATGTTAAAAAGCTTGGAGAAAACTATCAACTTGATTGTTCATTCCTTAACAACTTCTTCAGACGGGTCGCTACAATTTTCGGGTATCCTTTTCTTTCGTTTCGGGAACGTTGTACGAGTACAGAAGCTTGTTTTTTATCTGATTAATCGTTGTCGTTCTGTACTCGTACGTCGTGAAGGTGCAATGGCTTGAAATTCCCTGCATCTATATTTTCCATGCATACATATTTCAAAATGCTATCATATTTTCAAATCCATTTTCTTCCTCCACTTATTATTTTCAGTTAATTGCCCTTCGGAGTGAAAGAACAGTCGGAAAGTTATATCCCGTTAAGCGGTCAATTTTACCCCACCATTATTACTATTATTTAAGCAACTATTTTAGAGACTTTTGTTGATTTTTGCGTTTGAACCACGCTTCCTTAGCTAGCGATTCACGGCCCTTGGCTTAAAAGACAAGAATTATTTAATGAAGTGACCAAAGGCAGTTAGGCAAATGATCATTGGACGTAAGTCCACAACGTTTCAAATCTATTCTCTATAATACGATTTTCGAGCGATCAATCATGTTAGAACGTCTGTCACGAAAAAGCGAAATGTCGATGATGATAAACATTTCTACACAGGGTGAGGCAAATGGGGTTACTAGAAATCAAAAGCAGTAGGAGTTTTATTAAAGGGTGCTGCTTCGGATGCTCCGCTGACTGTGAGCTCATAATTGCGTACAATTTACCAATATATAAACTGGCAACTTCCTTATGTGTTTGGTTCCTGATGCTTTGGATACATATATGCATTTTTACAAATTTTTTTTTAGTTCAAATCACTTACTAAACTAAATATGCACGATTATGATAGATGACCTTCTGCCATTTCGCTGTTAACAGCACTTACGTTATTATTAAATTAATTGAGAAAATTCTATAGAAACCAGAACAGATGATAATCTAATGGTGTAATATCTGAGTTATGTGGAAAATGAAGGAAAATTCACCATCCACGTTCTGTAGCGTGAAAGAAGTTTAACGTGGTCTGGCGGCAAAATCACGGTGGTTTATTAGTGCGGATCTATTATTTTTACAGTTGTAATCTCTCTAGCTGTAGAAGTCCAAATCAATCGTCGGCCGGAACTTACGTTCGATTTCATTACAGTTCTATTTAGCTTTATGCGTTCTATCGCGTATTCTAAATATCAAGTGTTTTTTTGTAGGCGGGTTTCTTAGACAGTTAAGTATTGGGTGGTGGATAGAAGTTTCGATGTTTCTCTATTGATTACTACGAGGAGCATTTTTCAGCTCGAAATTTTCGGAACGAAAGCAATGAACTATTTTTGAGGCATTTACCCCGATAAGAAGAATCTGTATTGTACGCTATACATTTTTAAATAAGTTTAGACAGCATGTGTGCACAATAAAATTGCAAATTTTTGCAAAAATTTCACTCATCTTCAACACACTCTTCCTTTTGTTAGTATAAGTAAAGGCGGTACAAAGACATCAGGCCCAGATTCTATGACACGAATACTTTTGTGTGGAACTTGTGGTCCAATGACTCGAAGCAATAAAACTGAAGCTTATATTAACGATTTGTCAAAATATGAAAGTGATGTTGCTGCACCTTACGTGATTTACTTCGAAATAATGCAGATTAAGAGGGCAGCCCAAAACGGGCAATTCGGACACGGGCACCCCATGGTCATATGATGTTTGTGAGACAACGCTTGTTTTTGTTTTCAACCCAGCATGAGTAGGCCTATGTACACTCTGAATAATTTAAGGAGAAGCCAATTGACGTCCTGTATCCTGGAAGAGTAAGTGTGAGCGAACGCTCTAATGGATTGCCTGCTAAATAAGCGGGTCAAATGATAATCACTCAGTGATGAGTCAAGTTACACCTTCCTATATTTAGGGAGGCGATTTAATCACAAATACAAGGTGACACTTCCCGTGTCTTAGTGTACCGAGCGGTTTAGTCAATAACGCGTTGTATATCCTGCGGTGGCCTAATGCTGGCCTGGGCCCTATTCGTGTTAAGGGTCAAACGAATTTGTTGTTTTATTAAAAAAAAATTCTTACTTTCTTATCCCATTTGGCACGGTAGCGGCATCGACGAGAAGCGTTGAAACAAGCACATCTCGCTTCGCCCACGTTGCTTCGTCCATAAAAAAATACAAGTATTGTGTGTCGATATCTCACTGATGCAACAACGCCCAATATGGCATATAGTAACCTACGTCGGAGCTGACGCTGCGCAATGTTTCGGTGGGGTACTAAAATGGGACCAGTTCTTCCGCGGGCAACCCTCTGGACAACTTAAGTAGTAATATTTTACGCCACCTGTGAAAAACCCTAATTTCAAAATATTACTACCTCAAGGTATATTGCAACAATATTATTAGCTAACAAATATTAGTTGTCGCAAATAAGTACCATAGTTATTCAAGTGTGGCGTTTTCATAAAGTGATTCACAAGATAAGGCATTACAAGTAAAAGAATCAACAACCGGAGTTTGAGATTAAGGTAAATTATCCTGTTAAGGGGTTGATAATAGTAATGGTAGAACAAAAAACGTGGTCTGCAAATTATTTTTCGAGAAAGAAAGGATCTCTCTCTCGGCGATCTTTACAGATTGTCTAGTCTGATCATTTTGTTAATTATTTGGTTTGATACTGAAATATTTAATATGATTTTAACAATTTATTAAACATTCACATACTGTCAGTGGTTAGTACGTAATATACTGTCTATAATACCTTGTTTGAGTTTGTGCTTAGCTAATTCAAAGAGCGCGCCCAACAAGCCGCGTGTTAAGATGAGCCCGCCAAATTCACAGCAGTAGATATAGAGAAGTAGAGAGATAAATGGACTAGTATAGCGGTTGATGTGAAATTTTGACTGTGAAATTCTGCCGTTTGAAACTAAAAAAGCAGAACCGTGCTTCATTACACATGAAACATATTAAGGTACTTTGGTAATATGATGACTGAATTTCATCCCTGGCGTTTCAGTGATCATAGGACTTTGAATACAATTCGCAATTGAAATCGAGTAATCAACAAAGGAAATATCCGAAGGACGTTCAGAAGCAGTAGGAATCATCTCATTGTGCATCATCATTTGAAAATGTTGTTTAGACACGTTTACAGTTCATTGCGTTCCTTCGAAGAGTTTGCTCGGCCATACGACAGTAAAATACTCTACAGATGCCGCCGGCTGGCTGTGTAATGGTGTTTGTACTTAGGAAGAAGAGCAATTGTAATGTTGTTGTCAGGTCAGTTCTGCCGGAACAAAAAGAAGCATGGCGAAGGCAATAGTCATACATCAAATCTACTTGTCCCTATGTGCGTAGAACAGCAAGCTTGCAGCTGCCTGCGGTAGCTTATCGATTAGTAACGTCTTATTATTATTGTTATAACTCGATTTCAATCGTATCGGTGGGACATTCGACGACGCGCTTTCGCATCTGATCACGTATTGTTTAGAATTTTGTAGCTAGGTAGTTCTAGCATATTAGAAAACGTCGGGTCACAGTCATAGACGCTTCGCGGTGACCCGGCACTGAAAAGTGTCACAGAACAGGCTCGCCTTAACTCACCTTAGAACAGATAGCGATCGCCGCTTTGGTACTCTATCGACAGACTAAGAGGTTATAATTTAAATAGTCAGTTCCGTTAATAAATATGCATGGAAGACGCACGGGCCTTTGCATGTGTCTTATATTGTTACTAATGGAGTCAATTTTTAATTCTGATAAATTACTGAAGGTTACTGTTGGTGAGATAGATATACAATTTCGGCAGAATGTGTCCAAAAGCTTCAAGTAAAAAAAAAAAGGTTACCTTTTAATGTTCTTACAATTTTTGTCTATCTTGGGTTTTGTTCCTTGTATCGTACTAGATGCACACCAAACAGGTCAACGGGCTACCTGTAAACTAATTGGGTCTGTGAAAGGTACCTTGGTCCTCGAAGAAGTTGATGGCAAACTCAAAATCGAAGGCAAACTAAGCAATATTACGCTTGGAAAGCATGCCATTCATATTCACGAATCAGGTAAGCGACGACGATATTCAAAACGCTTCCCGTAGCAGTTTTCCGCACATGGAGCCAGGTAAATCATGAATGAATAGTGGATTAATTGTTAACAATGGCCGCGCGAGTCGTCGGCAAGGGATTCGAATCTTTGTTGTCGTACAACAAATCTTACATCGAGAAAATAGACGTGTAAAATACTGTGGACGTCGTGACTCTGATAAGTGCGTGTGAGTTATGCTTATAAATCAGGTTCCCATTTTGTTTGTCCGCTTTTTTGCGGTAATATCTACACGTAACACATTTTTGCTTAGGGAACACAGGGAACAACTGCCTCGATGCTGGACCGCATTATAATCCAACCAATGTTGACCACGGGGGTCCAACCGATAAAGTGCGACACATTGGCGATTTCGGGAACTTCGATATCACGAGCGATCCTTTTTTACTATCATACGAGGATCCCGTCGCAAAGCTCCATGGTACGTTGACTAGGCACGCCGTTCAATTAGGTCACAAAATTCCAGCTTTCAAAGATGCGCTGATGAAGAATGTTGCATCAGTGCTCTAAATTGCTCACAAAACACGATGTGAGTTAAATCTCACCTATATCAAATAGGCCCGAAATCCGATTAATGTGTATGATAAATGAATTAACTAGATTCTAAAAATATTTCGTCTTTATGCCGTATACAAAGTTGACGTGTGTCTAGAATGATGAAATGTTTAGTTATATTTTTTTCTCAATAAGACTTACTGAGCAAAATTGTCATACAACATCAATTTTTTTCATTTACGTCGTCGATAACAGTAAGACTTTCGGAGTGAAGAGTGCATTGTGTAAATATCAAAGGTACGATTAGGGTGCAACGCTACGGAGTAAATCCGAAACGAAATCAGCTTCTCGCTACTGCTTAAGCTTATTAAGCAACGATATTAAATGCTATCGCTTCTGCTTCAGGGTCGTGGCCAGTTCTTGATCGGGGCATTGTTATTCATGCGAGCGAGGATGATCTCGGTAGAGGACATAATCCCGCTTCGAAAAAGAACGGAAACGCTGGAGCTCGCCTTGCCTGTTGCCCGATTACAGCAATTTAACAGCAAATTAATACGCCTATGCTGATTCGTATTTGATTTATATATACGTAAATATCTAGATATAAACAGTAGTTATTTTGCCGGAATCGATAATCAAGCTGCTTAGTGTATTTATATAGATATTATTAGACGAAAAGCCTCTGGCCAGCTACTGCTGTTAACGGTCGACCTGGTTGCCGTTATGTCCGTCGTTATAATAATAATCATTATTACGACGGACATTATTATATTACATATCTAATTATCGCGTTTTTTAGACCGTGTGTCCATCTTCCGCGTGCAGTGTTCTCAATACTGAATAGTCTTCTTATGGGAACAAGCGTGTATTGGTAGGAGTCATTTTTAATAGGTAACATCAATTGTGTGTCAAATTGCGTACGCTGAATAAAAGAGGCTATCTTGCCTTAGCCATACACTTGCTTGTCCTTTTACTTAAGTAGTGGCTCGCAGTTTTTTGTTTGAGTGCGTGTACAGCTTATTAAACTGCGCTTTTTTTACGGTTAGGACTCTATCGACCGTAACGCAAAGCGCAAAATGTACCAGTGAAATAGACTCTAATATGGAAACGCTAGATTGGGGTTCACGTGCTGTGTAACGGGGATACCGTTAACGATAACGATCTCTAACGCACTAACACTTCAAGCTCCACCGGAATTTGCAAGAAATAAGTGCCAGGTGCACCTATTTCATCAGGTTTTCTCCAATGTTTAAATAAAATCTGTGTCAGTTTCTTATATGGCATAATTGTTTGATATTATTTTAATATGTTAATAATAATGATAACTGTTTTTATTTTTTTTAGAGATATATAAAAATCTCTATTTCGTATAGACATTTCCATATTATATAAATAAACACTGCGTCATTTTTTATATTGTATCTATAAAACGTAAAGTTTATTTCATTCACTTAATCTATGCCAGCAACGACATTCAGTAATCACCTTTTAGTGGTATACCTTTTCTGTCTGCCAGTCTATATACTTGCTTAACACACCAGGCACATGCCATCAGCAGTGTGTAGTCAGTCAGTCAGTCACTATCGAATCCTATCACGTAATCCGTTAGCGTCATCGCTAATTAAGGCACTCAATGAAGACGATCACCCACGAGCTTTCAAAAGCCACGAACGATCGGCCTCTAAAACACACGAGAGGTACGTGCGACAACTGTGCCCTGATTCCTCTTCGATCGAATTTCCTTTGCGGCCTGCTGCCACCAGCTGCGTTAGGTGCCCATTATCCTAATCCGTAATTTAAAGTGCCACCGCACCCTAAATCTTGAAGGGGTTTGTCGTGTATCGATGCTATATTTGCTCCAGTGTCTATTGCCGCCTCAGGCTTGTTGTTCCGTCGCTGAGTTGCTGTTTCTAGCATAAAAAACAGCTGTCCATAATATTACGCAGTTTATTACCTTAGCTTAGCCTATTCGGGCCTACACGTTCCTAGGATAGCAACAAACTTAACACCCTCTCACGGGACAGGGCACAGCAGTTAACAGACCCGCAATGGCAATAACATTTGTTTTGTATATATTAATGTTATCCATGAGACACGTACTACTACATGATGACATATATTATTTCTCTTATTAGCATTATTGTATATATATATATATATATTGCGCAATGTACGTTGTTGATGAAGCGATCAGGTGATTAATTGTTTTTCACCAATCGCTGCTTTAATTTTATCTATTCCACCAATTATTTTTAACGACTTTTCATCTTTCCATGTTGAATACCTTCGACAAAAACAACGAGCTTCGATTCAGTATATATATATATATATCTATATGTATGTATTGAACCGAAGCTCGTTATATATGTATGTATATATTGCGCGGCGCTTTTCAAAATTAAACTCTGTCTGTTTTTTGTTTAATTTGTAACTTACAACTGCAGCAGAGTTAAAGATAATATATTTTTCTTCGTCCCCGGTGAACATCATCGCGTCTCGTATTTTCCTATTCAACGTGTCCGGGACTTCAAAGGAAACTAGAAGTAGTATCTTTGAACAGCAGGAGGTCATAGCGTCCCTTAAACAAGGCGACTCCGCGGTGACCTGCTTCGCTTTAATTGTGATAGTGATTGGTACCTTAAGACTTGCTAAATAGTTAATGGATCAGAGGCACTTGTGGACACAGGTTGTTCATCTCGGTCCTTTTCATACTGTTGGTGTTATGATTGGTACTATGCCAGCTATACTAATATGTGTTTCATTACGTATGCGCATATCTGTGAGGACTTACGATTAACTAATATGTCGGCGCCAGTTTTTTCTTCGCTTTTCTACGGGCTGACATATTCGGTGGTCTCGTTATTGGTTGGTTGTCGCTCGCTCATGAAACATGCGGGTGGAGTGTATGATCACATTGAATACAACAGAGCTCCTCCATCATATTTTTCACCATCACTACTATAACATTTTGGCAGCGACATTAATTTAGGTCGGGCATTTCACACGAGTCCAATTGGTCAGAGAACACTGGTTGAGAGTGTTGTGAGGATCGCTACTGTCCGTCATACTCTACACTGATGTGTTGTCATGCATCATTGGCACAGTATATGCACGTGCAAATATATTCAACAATAGCCGGTGCAGTCCCGCGAATGCAAACCGACAGAACGTAACAGATGCACAAGAAATAGAAAACTCATCACGAGGAACGACAACGCATGGGCATCATAAACGCAACCCACAATGCAGGTTACAACGAAGATATGCATACATATGTATATCCAGGCTGTTTAAACATAGTATAGCCTGCTCGCGTGTAAGACGACCCATTTCGTGTTAATGTGCGGGCTGGCACAAGACTACCAAGACAAGCAATCACCTCACGAGTTCTCAGAGGCATAAACTGGCTACCCTTTCAAATTTTCATCCCTCATTCTGTAAAGTTATAATAGCAGAGGACAGGATTGCGGTACATGGCCTCGATTTCTATGAATTCCCAATTAAAACGCACTACCCTACCCATAACGAAACGAGGATACACTGCGATTATTTAATAATCAATAGGTAACATAACGGATTGTTCTCTAAAACGCGAAAAAAGGGTTGTCGATGCGTGCTATGAAGGTAGCGTTTCTCTGTTCTGCAATCCTTGTATCCAAAGTCGCAGGAATCAAAATCCTTATTTCACGGAAAGCTGGTAGTTAATTACGTCCTTCTGGTCCGTGTGAGCGGCACTCGTGTGGATGGAGATTTAACATCAAAGGGACATTCATAATGAAGGTCGATTTGGATTATATTTATTTGCTTGACTGTATGATTTTCCTTTTGTGATATCTTTCGTTTGTGCTCAAGTAAGGTTCCGCGTTCGGGAACAGCGTTCAAGACCGCGCTTGTTGCCGAACGGTAAACGAGATACGTCCTTCTGGGAGTTTTTTTAGGAAATTCCATGCTTCCGTGCGCGTCATGCTAGTTGTAACAGTTTGATTGATCGCCAGAAGCTCGTCGCCAGGTTGGAGACGTCCGTCGCGTTCAGCAGCGCCGCCTACAACAACAACAATGTAAAAAAACACAAATCAACTGCTTCTATCCACAGGAAACAGAATGTCAAATTACGCAGTATCTACTTATATATCACACATATTATAATAGCGCATCTTTAGGGGACTTTGTATACTTACAGCTGAAGATCCGGTTAATAGTAAGGGCACGGTTGCCTAAAGGGGAGTCCTTGCCGCCTTGAAGGGTGAAACCAAGGCCAACCTTGTCCTTTTCTAGAACGATCAGGGTCGCTAAAAAAAATAATAATATATATATATATACATATATGTGATCCTTTTACCGTAATTCACATTGACTAGATATTGAAGATGACGGATAATGACTGAGTTGGGCTTTAGAATAGTTTTTAAGGGACTTTCCTTGAAACCTTTCGATCGTTAAATACAATGTACGTAAATCGATATAAAACGAAGTTTAAATAGTGGCATGCTTCAATAAATCGTTTTCAGTATTCTTCTACTACTAAAATATACATCTGATGAAATACTGGCAGACGTTCCTTACATCCTTGAAAGGTAGGCAGAGGACCGTCACATGAAGGCTCGTCGATCACATCAAGTACACTAGACACGCTGCTGGCTCGACTAAGACTCGAACGTGTCCCTGATGAACCACGTCCGGATGGTTCGCGACTCAACACAAGTACCACTTCGGGTCGTGGGCTTTTGAGAATATCGAGAGCTTCTCGGTGGGTTGCACCCTTTAACGGCCGACCGTTAATGGACAGCACGCGGTCAGCCCGACGGATTCGACCATCGCGATCAGCCGCACTCCCGGTTATCACCTTGTGTACCTATTACGAAAAATGGCGCACATCGAATAGCGTTAGGAAAAAATGTGTACATACAAATCATTACTAAGGTGTTTATTTAAGCAATATGCTTTCGTTAGCGTAGTAGGGGAGAATTTGATTTGATTGTATGACTCATCGACATAAAAGGCGGACCTGAAGCTAGACCTTCTTGTTCACTTACGTGTCTATATTTTTCATTAATCAGTCTATGATTAATGGAAATGTTCTCCGTGAATTTCCGTGACACAGTAAATATTGTTCGACTCTGTACGACTTACCGTGATCTCCTTAGATTCATAGTCGCTTCCTCCTGCAAGAGTGATGCCAGCGCCTGAAGTTGGGCTGTCTTTGTGAAGGACGACCACGTAGACGTCGTGAGCCTCACCTCGGCCGCCCTCTTCTTCAGCAAGCGCTTGGTTTGCATCGTCAATCAGCTGCTGAAGATCCTGTGGTGAGATGAGAGACGATGTTGTGGACGCCAGCGACGTCAACGAGGAATATTGCTCACGGTTGGAGGTTGAGCTAAGTAAAGAAGATACTGAATTTAAACCAGGTTGAAAAAATGAAATCTCTCCTTTGTCAGATATACTGTTTGTTGCTTGCAGCAGCAATACATGGCTAAGCGAGGCTTTCCAATTTCCATGAATAAATGTTTATAATCTTCCCGAAATCGGGCATAAATTTAGACGCTAGACATGTAAAAAAAACAACACTACACATTCTTGCGAAAATATACGTTTGCAAAATTATTATAAACTTACTTTGTTGTTCAGCGTTGTATGACCACTTCTGCGTTATAGAATCGAATCTAATACTAAGCGCAAACTGAATTCCATATACCAAAACGTATGCATGCATATTGTGTATGGATGCTACGCTTTTACTACAATATTTGCCGACAAAAACAGTACGACTCCAGCCCCGTTTATATACCTGTTTCCGGAATCGTTCGAGTCGATACTGGAGAACCGGCGATGCTCCACTGTCTTTAGGGGCCTTTGCACGTCCTCGAAAGTCTTCTTCAGATCAGAAGTGCCTCGAGGAGCAGGCCGAACAGGAGCCGGTACAGGTGATCCTGTGGGCGAAGCTATGGGTGCGGCAGGCGGTGGGCCAGGTGGCGGAATCATGGGCGGCGGTAGTAAGTCTAACCTGTCAGAATTGCTAAACGTCGAGCCGTTGTTGTGTGACATCGATACACTGACTCGTGATGCTGGCTTCGGGACTGGCCCAGTTGGGGGTCGTGTGTCACTGAGTTTGCGAGCGGGAATCGGCGGGGCCGTATCTTGGGCCGATCGTTGTTCCCATTTCGCGGCCAGAGCGCGGAAGTTCTGGGGACCAGGCACGCTGTCGCTATCAACAGAGCTGTTACTCCTAGTAGACAAAATCGTAATAAGGGTAATTGTAGTTGTAATATATTTCTTATAAACAATAATGAAGATTTTGTTACGCGTATTTTTTCCGTAATCTCTGTCTGAAGAGATACAATTAGGGTCACTGGAGTACCGTTTTTATTGTGCTTAGCCAACGACTGATACCAGAAAAAAGCCTAAGTGGTTAACACATGCACGTATGGTAGTTATTACAAATTGTGCGAACAAAAAAGCTTTCTGGTACTTACTGTTGTGAGATGCTGTTTAAGGAAGCTTCAGACTTTGCAGATTTCAATCCACTAGCATTGTAGGCCGACTCAAAACGATGCTCAAGTTGTCTAGAAGCAGGTCGAGGGGGAACAGGAGGTGGACCCATAACAGGACCCTGGCCCAAGGACGATGGCCCATATTGGAATTCCATCGACTGCCATTTTGAACGGGCCTCGCCAATTGAGCTACGCGCGAATAGTTCTGCATCCTACAGGTGTTACATATGTAAGCAGAAATCAGGTGAACACGAAAGTAATTGACATGCTAACTACTATCATTATTAACTAAAATAATTCGTAAGTCGCATTGACTTCTTACGTCAAACAAACAACTGCGGTAACCTCTATTTAAAGATAAAGCATTGTGAGAGCCAACGCGAATAGTTTGCCACTGATTCATCACGGGCAAGTATGGTAATCCATTTATGACGTCTGCGTCGACGTAAAAGAATGACGTACTGGCAACAACGAACTTTGGAAAACCAAAACAACTTTCACTCAAGGAATGTAACGTTTTTTTAACTACACAGGTTTCAACAACACGCTTAAGAAGACGTATACTTCGTTCTTAAGTCCTCGTTAAACCAAAAGTAAGATCCATTACTTTCTATATCTATAAGATCTATATCAACTCATACACACAGGTACATCTTTAGGCTCAGACATATAATTCGGATCAGAATAGCTCTCAGACCGTACGTACTCAGTCGTAGGCTACAAACACGAGTTATAGCTGTTCGCCCAATTAAAGAAAATTTTCTTGGCCTGAAGATTGTTGCATATACCAAACTCATTCCTACATTAACGCACCATCGTATAGTAAATAAATAGAACGATTTTGTGCGGGAACACAGTTGGCATTACGATAAATAAATAACGTAAACAGCTAAGCAGGTCAGTATTTATTATTAGACCGGCATTCTTGGAGCGCGGAAAATCAGCCGATGGTTGGACTCTATTGAATTAAGCATTTTTTGGTAAATGGTGATTAGTATATATTTACATCTAAATCAAACAATTAACTAAATAACGCGTATCGACAACAATATCGATCAATACGTTACAAATGTGTAGACAATGGCTGGTTTTGAAAACAACGGGGACAAGAATAGGTGTAAGACTTCATGCATAATACCTCCTATGTTGGACGACAGAGGCACGGGATCACAACACAGGTTGTTGGAGTACCCCTTAAATGTCGAATATATTATGAGGAGCACCTCGAAGAACGAGGACGCTTATTAATACAGTAGCAAAATGGTTTTTCAAACAACTATTAAGAATTGTCGACTTGTTTCTTTTCAACTATTACACGAACAGCTAATTACTACTGATAATAATAACAAGTTTAGCACTGTCATCATTGTAGACACCTGTAGAGTTCAGTTTTTGAAACGAGATTTGTAAATAAGATGTCTCCATTGTTCTCGCATCATCAGTCGATCTTCTTCTTAGCTAAAAAGAAACATGTCCATAGACAGGATTGAAACTAAAACTTGTCTACCGATCATAATAATTTTTAGTACAGAACGATCATCACCAAACGGAGGTGCTTTTATAAATGTTTCATTGTGTGTTGATTCGTGCTGGTGATCAGTTATTCAGGCAATATGTTTATTTTAGCAATTTTAACAGGCACAATTGCGGGCGAATAGATCGAGTCGATAAACAAACGCACGCTGGAACAAGCGGTCCTTATGTTACGCGGCTATAGGAGTAAATTAGTCCCTTCAACAACTACTTCTGAACAAGGACAGTAAATAAGATGTGTGTAGCACTTAGGCCGACTGAACTGAGTGAAGTGCAATGAAACAGATGAATTTTTTGCTTTTCTCATGCTTCTATTATAACTTTTTATAGTAAATAATTGGAAATTAACTAGTTCCTTTAATAATTTCTATACTTGATATAGTTTTTCCTCGTTAAAATAATACAAGTTTTTGATAATTATTATTGCCTTGTTGATTTTTTCTTCTTTTATTAAGAGAGGTGTTGGAACAGCTACTCCTTCATCCAGAAATACATTTCATGGGGGATGGCTGTAGATTTGGGTATTAGTGGCTACGATAGACTCCCGCAGCATACGGCACGTTCACTCGAATGAATAACACGATTCCAATTTCGCTAGTTCGCCCGTAAGCGCCTTACCCTGAGGTCCAATAGGGCTTTTACCACGACCCGGCCAGCGACCTCCGCTTTATTGTGGCCTCCTTCCCTAATCTATTTTTGGCCACACAGGACTTGAGGACCGGGGTCTTTAGACACGTTTCCAATGTTTGGCCGTATTGTGCAGGTGACTTGAAAAGGAAAGTACATGAAGAAGCCTTATTGTGCCTCTTCGTGTAGTTTCCTTTTCAAGCACCTTTGAACGCAGCCATCTTAATATTGAATCTTCTAGCGCTAGAGCTTCGTACCGACCCAAGTTCTCATAGGCTTACACATAAACACACTTTATATTAAGCGACGTAAATAACCAGCTGATTCATGATTACGCTGTTCTTCGTTAATCTACAGACTCATCGTTAATAAAAGTGTTGATAGCGTTTGCCGACGATATCAACAAGAAATCATCAAGCTATACGTTATTCGATATTTGGATGTTGTATTTCGTTAGTATTATATTATACTTAACTGTTGTCACTTTTTTTAGCATTACTATGAATGACACATTACCTTAATGGTAGTGATATTGGCGAATGAACCGCTACGGCCGTTTCTGCTACGGCTCACGTCGCACGCGTCTTCCTGGAAAGAGTTCGTGCTATCCTGGCTAGAGCACGAGCTAAGGTATCTTTCAATGAGCTCTCCTTTCGGCGGAGTAACGTCTTGAGAAGAACCGTTTTCAGGAAGCGGCGGCGCGGGGCGGGATGGAGTATTCCCTGAAAAGAGAATTGATTTCGTCAAAATCTTTCTAACGATATGTTTGCGATAAAGCACGTATGTCGTTTGCTGAAACTTGCTTTCAAAGATACAGTTTCTTCTTTTAACTGGAGCTGCAGCTCGCCGATGTCTGTCAATTTCATTCTGATTATATACTTACCTGCATTCAGAACATAAAAAAAGCAAAGAAAAACTTTTTAAAACATCTAAATATAATACTGTAAATTAAATAAAATGCCGTCTTGGTGCATACGTTTCACTTGTTCTTTTTTCAACTTTCTTCCCCTCAGCCACGCTTCGTCACTGGTTCTATATTGCTGCAATGACCCTATTGAAATAATAGACCTATAAAAAGTGTAATGCTTAAAAAAGTGCTGAGTCGGGCTCAACTGACCGCTATACAATCTTAATCGATAAATTATTTTCAATTGATCATAGACGTTGCAACCTCTTCGTTAATGAATGCCCGCTTGCAACTGTCGGTGCATGAACACAAGTACATACTCTTACAAATGAAAAATAAGCCTTACAATAATCCATCGAATGTAACTCAACGCACCAAAATCAATTCGTATGAGATCAGACGTAAAATCATGGAAGTTATTGTAGACGTTAGTCTCGAACGCGCTACGTTTCTCTTGCGGGAGTCCTTTAATAATCTCACTCACAGCCGCACTCTCACTCATTGATGGCTTAGCATCAAGTAGCAACTGACGTTTTCGTATTGCGTAAATTAACGGATCGTTTACTGTACAACGAAAATCGAGCGCCCGCTCAAATTCGTCGCAAAACGCCGCTTCAACTACTGTCGATATAATGCTGTCAAGTGTCGGAGTCATGATTGGCCGCCGTTCACATTAGACGACAATCGTCGATGAGCGGAACGTTGTCGAAGGTGTACGACCAGAGAACTCCTTAAGAGTTCTCTATGCTGCCAACCCCTCTATCTGGCAGCGAGAAAACTACCCATCGCACAGTACCGACTCTGACTGCCCTTTCTCCACTCTCCAGCGATCTCCATCCACGAGGAAGGGTATTTTTCTATTTTGATATTATGGCCACGGCAGCCCCGGCTGTCTAAAACCATTATGGAGATCGCGCGCCTGAGGCTGAGTTCGTTTTCATTAGCGTGACAGCGGCCCCGTGCGTTGTCCCCACCAGTTCTCCATAAAGTTAGTTTGTTCATCCGTACAAAGTAACATCGTCGAACGCCAGCTTCCATAACTGATTCGCCAACGATAATCTTTTGAAGGAAAGGACCCGTCGGTTTTTCCATCCAGAACATCGATGATGCGTCGCTCAGGCTGGGACACTCAAACATAAGGTATGTTATCATTCCTCCGCTACTGGGCCGGAGCTTCCTGAACAGCAGAACCCATTGGGCAAAGACATCCAAGAGCTTTCGTGTTGAATGGTACTGCTATTGCCACCGCCGCTAACTGACGGAATCGTTGAAGGCGAACTCAGGGAAAGTGCATTTTGTTGAACAGATAAATCCAGAAGAAGGGTCGGCGAGCAGACTAGAGTATGAGCCAGTTCCTAGTAAGATCGTATCGGTAGGTATCGCACATGAAGGAACTGTACTGGATAGAGCAAAACTAAGAATCGACCTAAAGACATATAGAAACATATAGGTCAGCAGTAGTCCTGCTGAGAAAGAATTCTGGCTAAGGGTTGAGAAGACGGCTGCGGAAGGAATATGGCCGAATGACTGCGTTAACAGGATCGAAACAGCTAAGCAATGCATACTACAGCGTAGTAGGACCCTTGTAGAAGTAAACCTGTGTAATCATGTACGCGTGTATATGAGTGAGGAATATGTACGGAGATATCAAGAGACGACTTTGGATTTAAAAGGTGTAGAAATATGGTGCAGTAATCTTCAAAGACGCACTCCACAGCAAAGAATAAAGTTACCTAAATATACGGTACCAACCGACAGAAACCAACAGAAAAATAACAAATGCTATGTACTACAGGGGAAAATATTTAGAAATTTAGAAGAAAATAGAAGGTATACCGTAACTGTTTGCGAAAAAAATATAGAACATCATTATACTAAGATAGTAGTATTCAGAACTTCAGTTATCTCTAATGACCGCCTTTTGATATTTTTCGAGAGAGAATAGGAACGAGCTGTACAATAACTTATTGTAATCTGAATTTTAGAGAAGCGACATTTTGTGCTTGCTAACAGTGTTTTACTCAACAACAATGTTTAGTATAATCAATACGAAAAAAACAATTCGTTTATTATTCAATACATACATTCGTTGACTTCGTTGAATCCGAGACTTTTTCGGAATACTGACGAAAGGGGTGGTGCCGAACTCCTGTGTTCTACAAGTGGTCGCGAACTTTGCGCTTTCTGGGCTCGCTGGGCCACGACCGGAGTACTGTCAACTTTTGCCACAGTTGGGCTTGTTATGATAACGGGAAGTAGTTTAGAACTTGCCGGAGCTGGAGGTACAGATTTGGATAGCACGAGGCCTTTCAGTTTGGGTTTGGGCTCGGATGATGGTTCCAACATAGACATAAGCATCCCGCAATAGCGCTTCTGTGAAGCCTCACGATACTTAGAGTACACTGAGGATACTGAACCTCGCCTAAAATGCATAATACGTAAAACGCTTTCCTGCTCAGTACCAGTATACATCTCACAGGGCTACTAAAGGTGTATACCAACAACTATTACCATAGATACACACACGCACCAATTCAACACATACAATGCAGATATGATTGCATTATAATGTATGAAGCTGCCATATGACAAAAATTATACATATATATATACTATACGAAAAAGAATCTTAAATTGGAAATGAACTGTTTCTACGTGCCTGTCCCCATTGATTGGTGACTGGTATTGATTAGCGAGGAGAGCACTCTCCGGATGCGTCGGCGAAGCGGAGAAAGACGGCGAAGGTGACTTGTGTGTGGGTGATGGACTTTCGTCGGAAGATGGCGTCGAGCAGAAGACGCCAGAATCGTCGACGGACACCGATTTGTGACCTCGGAAAGCGTCCTTCCAACCGCCTCGAATAGACATGTTACTTATGTCGAGACCTGTCGGTTCTTCGGTAAAGCTTGAAGGAAACTCGTGGCCATCCGGAGGCAATCGACTACCAGCAGTAGTGGTGTTGTTCCCGTTGAATCTCACCGCTGTCGTTAGCATCTTGACCTCTTCCTTTGGTTTTCCACTTTGAACTTGATCAAGATTTCTAGTGAAATACTAAAAAATATATGGATCATAATAATGCTATATGTGAATATAGTTTTAGACTTGTTTTAGACGAGAATTAATGAGCAATTTCTTTCCTGTAATGGATCACTATTGCCTACCAACACTTCATGATCAAAACAGGACAGTGTAAAGGTAGTAGTTTAGCGTCTTTAGAACATTCATTTCTCATCCGATATTATTTTTTCCATGAGTAGACGCAGCTGGTAAAATAAAACATTATTATAAGCAGCTAGCTAACATAATGCTATGTTAAAAGTTGCAGTTCTACACAAATTCTCTCGTGCTCACTATAGAGCTATAGCTTTTATAATGTTACAATGATGAAAAATTAAGACTTTGGAAGAACAACCGGATTCGGTTATTCGGTGTTTTCAATCGGTAACGAGGTGACTTTTGTATCCCTTTAAATAAGGTAAAAGCCATTGCTTTAAAACAGTGCAACGGATATGCCAGTATCCGTTTGTTGAATACGTGTTCTCCATGAAGTACTAGACTGTGCATAGCTCATAGTGATAGTAGCCTAGAATATACCAGTCAATGAACTCTTATCATACAAACAGACCGTCAGTATATTCGGCTATAGAATCGAAATTTTACTATACTGCGTAGCTAACATGAAATGGCTACTTTTTTATTTATGTAGTATTTGGTAGCTATAGTCCAGCAACGATGAGACAACGAGTACGCAGTACATATTGTAACATCAAAACTGGCACGTGTCAAGCGTAACTGACGTAACATGTAACAATGGAACTAAGTTAATTGATTGAAATTGCAATTTCTAAGGGAACTTAGTGCATTGGTAACGCAGAAAGATCAGCCAAACCACCGTATCACCTCAGGACAGGATCAATTTTGTTCCTTTAGTTTCAAATCGAAATGGCAATAACTCAGCCAGAACCAGCGACGGTACCTAGTAAACCTATGTCACATGTTGTAGCAGTACAAACATGTCACTTTAGTAAATATACATTGAAACTAAGCCTATGTAAATATGGGATTCTTGAATAATGCGACTGCTATTAAGAATGAGGTAGAAAGGATATTGTAATATTCTGTCTTTTACCCTTGGAAGCTAAGTTCATTTACTACCTGTAGAAAAAATAACCCCATTCAAAGGCTGCTAGCTATTCTTGCCATGAAACTTACTTACGGAGTGCTCAAGTTCTCGTACTGTTTCGCAAGTCACTCCTGTATAATCTCAAAACCTTACCCCAAAAATACTTCAAAAAATTGTAAAAGTCTTTTGTTCTCTTCAATACACCCTCGCTCTCCTCGAAACTCACATGTTTGTTCGCATAATGCACATGAAGCATTTCAAAAATAACGATCATACCTGCGTCTTTTCCACCTTGTCTTCGACGGTTCCGTGTCCTGTAAAAGAGTTTTCACGTGCGGGCTCTGCTTGACGAACTATATCCGATTCTCTCTCTTGACTCGGCAAAAGCTGAACGTCGTCGTAGTCTTTCCACTCTTCCTGCTGTTGAACCTGCTGCTCGGTTTCTTGCTCCGGAGCGGTCAAACTTTCTTGCTGGACCTCTGTTTTCTGCAGAAGGTCTATTTCGGGGGAGAGCTCGTGGCGGCTGCCGACGACGTGACTCGACGGGGGATGGGCGGCCACGGAAGTGCGGCCATCCGAAAGCGTGTTACTCGCATTCGCGGCGACAACTGTAGACTCTACGAATTAAAATTGTGCAAACACAGACAAATAAGTAAAGACTGGAATAGCTGAATGTGTACATGTTACCTCCCAGAGGCGGGGAATGATTCTGTTGGTAACAATTCACGTAGAATATTAACATGTTCTTTATTATAGGATGAATTTTCATTAATCGGAATTGGATTTCTTGGAAAACCGCAACAGAAATTGCCGTAATAGGACTGTTCCGCATATACATAAATATGTATGTTGTTAAAATGTATGCGTTTCAGGTTCCGGCTGTGGACACATAATACCCTTTAGCCGGCTGGTCAGTCACTCGCCAATGTTACAAATTTGATGGCTGTGCAGGAATCGCGAAACAGGAGGGAATAAACGATCAAGTTCGCCTTTTGGAGGGTCAGCATAAGCTTGGGGGGGCAGGAGTTCACGACTTTGACGATAAATAGGCGGTTAACCGTCTAAATGGCTACAAGGGATTGTGGGTCCGGCGACCGCACAACTTGGTTCAAGGACCAAGTTGATACTATTTACGTGGCCCAGTTTTGGTGTGGTGCGATCCAAAAATCTTGCCTAGGGCAGATAAGTAAAGAGCTTTTCAAACAAAAACCGAACAAGCGTTATTCGGATGAGGTCGGCCCTGGTCGGATGAGGGAAGTTCTTCAGACGTATGGGGGTGGAAGGAACATCTTTTGAGAGCTTCATCAAAAAAACTGGTCCGGATGGACTAACTGCGTTAATGGAGCTTGATTACGACTACACTCCTTTTTGTCTAATATCAGGAAAAGAGCGAAATCTATCGCTTTCATAAATTGCGTTGCAGGGGCAAACCCGACTTTCTACGGTACCTTGATTCAGGCAGTTAGACGCTGTACGGATGAGGATAACGAGAAGAATCAGCTACCAGCCGACGGATCTACGGGATTAACGAGCCGATGTAATGTGTTAACGTTGCAGAACACAAGCAGTAAACTGCCCATAACTGTGACCGGCGGACGCCAGGAGTCATTGAAACTGATGGCGCTGTCAAAGTTTGACATCAGAGTTGTAGAGTGGATTGGTGCAGGCGGTGCTGAATATCAACGATTAGGCGAGCGCCGACTCAACCGTGTTTTTGGAATACATCGACGTGTGGCTTCAGGGGCAGATCGCCAAGCTGGGCGTCGAGCTCGTTGATGCGCAACAGTAACCCTTGAGCGTTACGGGGTAATTCAAGATCGCCAGAAATCAGGTGGAAATATATGGTCGTTAACAATCCGGAATACCACATTATTCGCGGAGTACCCTGTCAGGGGGATCATTTCATTTGATACAATAAGTCCGAGTTATTTTTGTACCAGGACGGATCAGCTTATATCCCCTGAAGCGTTGAAATAAGTATTGGCAGCACTGCTTACCAAAGGCGCCAGTCCGGGTAAACGGGGTTGCTCATTCATCTCCCATGCGTAACTGTATAAGTTGTACAGCATAGTGGCTACAGGTTCGGAGGGTGAGTGAAAGGTTGTGGTAACCGATCTCGAAATATGGCTTGTTTGGGTATACCAGCATTCAGTTAAACTGGGCCCGAAAACGCACGATACTTTCTGATCCAAAAGTTTCTAGTACATTTACTTATCCACTGGGTGTATAGCCCGAAGTCCGTATTGAGGGGCGCGCCATTTTAGTGGAATTGTTGAATGACCATTTTGGGCATCTGTGCAAAAAGCGGAATTTCTAGTTTAAAAATTCATCCATCTCACAAAAGTTCACAATTTGTCATTTGGCATTTGCCAATCCAGGTTTAAAAATTTAGTTTAACAATGCCTGAAACACATCGTGACTCGCCTCAAGTAGTAGCCTCTGTGCTAGCAAGTCTCCTTTCTCATGCTCAACAACGCCATATATAAACACATGGAATCTGTCGTGGCCTAAAATTCCGTGGACACGACAAATTTCCAGTCATTTAAACACTGCAGCGCACCAACGACAAAGAGGGATTCGCCAAGGTATAGTCCGTCACGTTCTACGTCTTCTTTGTTGTTTTGCTTTTTTGCGGGCTTCAATACTTCAATAGCGGGCAAGCTGCCAGAATCGGTTACCTATACGTGATACCCTTTCTCCCCCATTGCCGATTAGCGTTGGCGCAGCGAGCCCGCATTGCGATGGAGGTACAATAGATGCTGGATGTCGGCGTGATAGAATTATTTTCCCCATTCCTGGTGTCCTTGTAAAAAAAAAAGGCATGATTCGACTCGGTTTATTCTCCGTGCTGCGAATTCCCGAATACAACTGCATACCCGAGTATCAGCCTTAGATCTGGCAAGCATTTATTGACAGACTTACATGCATAACTTACAGGGATAAGAAGTGATTATTCGGCACCTGTACGGCTTGTATCAAGTTAAGAGGACGCCTTTGGACTGCCTAGGCCTCCGGCAACGTTCAAGCGGTTAGTGTAACGAATTCTGGGTAAATTGCGATATTAAATAGCCTTGGTTTTTGCAGATATTGTAGAGTCTTCCGAAGGAATTGAAAAACACATGCGTCAGTTTCGTTATCTGTTCTCAGCACTGTAGGTTTACGCGTTAGAGCGTCATAATGTTTGTTTGCTATGCAAAAAAATTTTATAGCTTGCCCTCTGCCAACATAGAAAGCAGCCGTTAACGATGCCCTGAAACTTCCCAGGACGGTTCGCTAGTTGTGGAACTTCCTCAAGCCTGGGCTGGTCTCTATTGCCCAGTACTAGGCTGATCAAAAGCGCGTGGTGACGTATGCTAGTAGGCAACTTCCAACCCACAAGACAAAATGCAGTTTGTCGAAAACCAAATATGCAGATGCTGTGTGGACTATAATTTTCCTAGGAGTAATTCCATCCATACCTGTCTGGGCGGCGGTTTATAGTGGCCACCGACAGCAATATGTTCTAGCACCAGCTATTCATCGAGACCTCCACCCAGTGTTGGCTCAACGGGTGCTGAAATTGTTGAAGTACAATTTCGAGGTTCAAAGCCGGAGTGGCATGGCAAACTGCAACGCAAACGTTTGTGATGTTGACGGTAAAAAAATGAACTACGGTACCGTTCTCAGGTCGATCAAGCAAGCCCGCGCTAGACTCTGATAATGACCACGTTTCAGGCAGAAGGCAAGGTTGCGTTGCCATCAAAGGACGGGGAAGTGACCGAATTCCTATTGAACAGAGCCATATTTTGGGCCGCGGGATTTCCGAGCGGTCCTATGACCGGCAGAGCCTCTCCATATCGCGAACGTAATCCGGGCTTGGGTCCGTTGATTAGTTCACGATTGGAAGAATTGGGCGAATTGAATTTTTTTATCAGAGTACAGTCGCTGGCGCCAATTGCTTACTTGCCTTACTTTCTACATGAATATGTTGGACGAAGAAGTCCCATCGAATACACTGGCCGAAATTTGATTCTAGTCAATATTTTTCCGATTGGGGGGAAACGAAAATTTAAAGTTTATTGTAATTAATAAGTGGAACATTTTATTTATTTTTTTTAGGTTAATAATTTTCAATATCTATGGTAGAAAAAATGGACACTCTATGTAGGTTTATTTACGATTTAACTATGAACAATATGTAAATAAAAACCGAGGTTATAGTTATTCAAACTGTGTATGCATTAAAAATATATATAATTCTCTTATTACCAAATCGAATTGTATTTTTACTTTTATAAATGACGTTAAAAAATACTTATATAAAAAAAGAAATTGCATAAACACCAATCGTTTTCTATTAAATAGATAAACATATGCAAAATATAACGTAGCTATGACGCCATCTCCTCAAATATGATAATTATAAGATTATTCTATTATTATATTGTGTTCTATTGTTGTGGTTTAATAGTTAATTAGATCGCTTTTAAGTATTAGATAAAGACAACAGTGATAAATACTACAATTGACTATCTTAATAAAAGCTACTAGATAAAACATATTTAAACAAAAGTAAAAACAACATACCGAATCATTTTACTGTACATAAATATAAATATGCACGCAAGTCGTTCAGGACAAGTCGCAATATTGGGCAATGCAACGGACGATCTAATGTTTAACACATCTTATGGCATAAGATAAATGGGTGGCGGGTATGAAGCTGTATAACAAAAACATTCTTCTAACCGGTAATTGCTTTTTTGAAATAGTTCCTTTTGAAACATGTTAGCGGGTGCTTTGTTCAAATAACCTTACCCCTTTTATAGCATGCGACTAAAATAGGTAACGCTTCGTTAACCTTGTTCCCAATAATTCTCTTTTTTTTTTTTTTTTTTGTAGCATTTTTCATCAGTTACGCTTTTTCATCTCGCTTCTAATTTGGACTCCTGATATTCGGCGTTTGTAAGCCTACGAATACGAGAAATGGAAATTAAATGTTGAAAAATAGTCATAAAATTTTGGCTTTTGGAATTACGAACGGAGTAATATTCTAGAGATTTGCCGGGCAAAATGACGAACGCTACAACCACATTAGAGCGATGGCTGGTAGCGTCGAGCAAAAATGCTTAGCTTATTTGATAAAACTGAAATCCGGGGCAAATGCACGGTGTTGAACCCAGCGCAGTTGATGTTTACTTTTTTGTAAATGGCGTCTCGACGACAGGATCAAAATAGTCAGCGACTGAAATTCTGCGTATGTGTTTGGTGTTAATAAGAGTATGTATAAAAGGAAAACAAGACACTTCACAAAACAGATACCATTTGTCATGTATCATTTAACTTTCTGAGTGTCGTAGGTCGCAAATTATGTAGCATGGATACGTTTCAAATAATAATCCGGAAGGCAAACAGATGGAATTTCACGACTGAAATGACTGATCTTTCAAGAAGCAGCCGGCCCCTAGTAGAAAGGTCAAGAAAGCTAGAAACTGTGTTTATATGGCCGGCGTGCTCTAAGTGTCTGAAGTAATAACAATGACATTAATAACAACTATAGTGCAAATGAGTGCAATAATACAAGTAATGGTAATGCTACTGGAGAAATCTTGACCAGCAGCCTGACAAAGGCGCGGTA